AACAGAAGATCCTTTTTTATGGAATAATAATTAGACCAATTTACTTTCATACTTCTACTTGTACAGTAAAATATTCGTTGAAGCAATAATTCCAAACAGTCGTATATTCGTGGAATAACCTATAGCATAATAGTTATTGATAATTATATTTTTGATAAATAGGAGTGTTGTTGTTTAGTGCAATCTGTAACATAGATTTCTGTCACGAAAGTACAGATAAAAAAATTAACGAGGTAAATTTTGCGCTTAATGTCATTTTTTGCTGCTTCTGCGTAAAATAATGATTTTCAAATAAATATAATGTTTTATGGCTAAGACTTCGGTCGATAGCCTTTTGGTACATAGTATCAATAAAGTATATTTCTCTCTAGAATATTTTAACGATGTAACCATCCTGGAATGGTGAAGTTACTTTAAAATTTATAGTGTATCCCAAAAAGATATTTAAATGCCGCAAAAAACAGTTTTACAGCAACATATACAGATCAGTTAAGACGTATTGCTCTTTGTAGATATCAATATCGTCAGTTTGTTCAGACAACATCCTTTGTTTAATGCAATGCTAATGAACAATAATAAATTAAAAATAAACGAAATCAGACAAACGTAAAGAAAAAATATTTATTGTCTAAATGTATGTGATGGGATCTAAACAAATTTTAAGTTTCTTTAAACAAACTTTAAATAGTCTAATAGAGAATATGGCATTTTCTGTTGAAACCTACAAGATAAGTACTTAAAATCTAATGTATAACTGGTTAAATGTAGCGTTTTTGTGGAACATTTTCTTGGAATTGGAATGACATGCTCAGTAATATAAATAAGATATTCTGTTACAATAGGGAATATACAAAAAAAAAGGTGGAATAAAACAAGCCACTGGTCGTAATGTTTGTGGACTACGAGAAAGCATTTGAGTTAGTACACTCAAATGCTCAACTAGCAAAAAAAAATTTGAAGAAGAGTGGCTTTATGCTTGTATACAAAATTCAGATCGACTACTTATTGGATTGGTTTCCTGAAAATTATTTTCTAAACCAGAATACTAAATTAATAAATTTCTAAACACCTGAACTAAGTAATTACTATTTAAATGGGAATAACCCACAATTAAAGGTTAAAGTACGTTTAAAAAATAACCTTTAATTGTGGCTTATTCTCATTTAAATAGTAATTACTTTAAAATGAAAATATCTTCAGAACAATATTAAGAAATCTGAACTAAGGTGCTATACATCGTTTTTACGATATGTTAGAGACGTTATCATTCAAAGTGACTGACATGCGACATAAAACATGCGCCATGTAAAATTATTGGAAATAGCAAATAATACTTTAAAGCTCTAGTATCACACACTAGAATTTTGTATGATTCTGTGGGTTCTTTGAAAAATGACGACAGTTCAACGTTCAACATGTGTAAAAAAAATTTGAACTAATAATATGGAACTCTTTACTTTTTATGGAAAACGCTCGAATAGATCAATTTATTTTTTCAATTTTCCACACGCTCATAAATTCATTTGTTTGATTTTGAAAGCTCAAAGCTGTATGATATTGGATAAAGAGTTTCTCTTTTACTGCGTTCACTTTTACGTTCACAAATCAATGAATACTTTTATGAGTCGCACAATATAGAAACATATTAATTGACACCAGAACTATCAAATTGGGCATCACATGATATAAAGAGTGGCCCAAAAGTCTGGAATCGACCAATTATCTCGTAAATTGCTAGTCATAATTTTACAAAATTTGAGAAACACCTATTTTGGAATAGGAGATTCCATATTTGATATTTGAAATTTTGAAGAATTTGCCGTTTCTCTTATATTATTAGTAACTTTGGTTTTTCAAATTCATCACCCGGTACATTCAGTCATTATTGGAATCTCCTATTTAATATGAGTTCAACCATATGTAACATTTATGATTTTATGTAATCTAGAAGGTACATAAAACAGTGCAAAATGTGTAGATTTTAATAAATTTAAATATTTAATGTAGAATGCTGTAATTTTGACATTTGTTCACCATTTACATTATTAACTAAAACTGACAGTAGTTGTGTTTCGAAAAGTTCTGTAAGATAAATTGCTTCTCTAAAATGGCTCTAAACGAAAAAGAACGAATTACTATTCTAATGATGAGAGGGTACGGTGACAGAAAAACATCTTATTGTGAAGTAACCAACTTGTACAATGATACTTTCCCAAATCGTGCTCCCATTCATAAGACGACGGTACAAAAAACTGTAAAGCGATTTGAGGAATCTGGAGAAGTAAAAGATATCGATCAGGTAAACCGAAGAGAGATGAATGACAAGAAAACTTTAGATATAATGCAAAGTTTTGTTGAAGATCCACATACATCCTCACGCAGGGTTGCACAAGTACATGATGTAGGTCGTTCTTCAGCCTTACGTGTACTACGTAAGAATAAAGTTAAACCATACAAAATTAACTTATTGCAAGAATTAAGTGAAGATGACTTCGATCGTAGATTAGAGTTTACTGAGGTAATGATGGATAAAATTGAAAATGACGAAAATTTTGTTAACAGAATATGTTTTTCCAATGAAACAACTTTTACACTGTGTGGAAGTGTAAATCGACACAATTTAAGGTATTGGATTAACGTAAATATACACTGGATTCGTGAAAACCATACTCAAAGACCACAAAAATTAAATGTATGGTCAGGTATAGTAGGTACTCAGTTAATTGGGCCATTTTTTTTTCGAAGAAAATTTAACGTCAGATAGTTACGAAATGTTACTTAGAAATGAAATTGTACTAACACTGAGAAAAAAACTTATTTGAGGCCAATTTTAATCAGATATGGTTTCAGCAAAATAGAGCTCCAGCCCATTTTGGTGTAAATGTTCGGCGTTATTTAGATGAGATATGTCCCGGACGATGGATTGGTAGATGAGGTAGAATTGAATAACCTCAACGTTCACTTGATTTCAATCCTAAAGATTATTTTTATTGGGTATACTTGAAAAATTCAGTTTACAAAACTAAACCAGCAAGTCTTGCAGAGCCAAGGCAACGAATTATCGATGAATCTCAAATAATTTCTAGACAATCATGGAGAAATGTGGTAGACACATTCTGCCATCGATTAGGGTACTGTCCACTCACAAATGGAGCACAGTTTGAACGCTTGATAAAGTAACCATTATGTTAAAAAATGTAATCTATCAATTGTTACGTTTTCATATAGTTGAAAATGTTTAGTATTAAAACATTTAAAACAAATATTAAGACCTTCCAGACTAGATAAAATTATAAGTGTTATATATGGTTGAACTCGTATTGAATAGAAGATTCCAATATTGACTGAATATACAGGGTGAAGAATTTGAAAAACCAAAGTTACTAATAATATAAAAGAAATGGCAAATCTGGCAACATTGCAAATATCAAGTATGGAATCTCTGTATCCCAAAATAGGTGTACTTCAAATTTTGTATAATTATGACTAGCAATTTAAGAGATAATTGACCGTTTCCAGACTTTTGGGCCACTCTGTATATGCAACTATATAATTGCATTTAAGATAAATGTCCATGACGTCATATTTTTGACAATAAACAAACGAATTCTATCATAGTTGCACAGTATAGTTGCTCTATCATAGTAGCGATAGTTTATGCTTCTATTTTACAGATTCGCCAGTGATTATTAAACAGTCGTCATTTTGAAACGACACAAAAAAATCGCACAGAAATCTAGGAACATATTAATTGACATACGAGCTTTCCAGAGGACAATACTTTCCACATGATCCTATTGAAAATACGAAAAAAACCGGTCGTCGATTACTAAATAGATTGTGCATAAGTCTGTGATTTATTTCTACTACCTAGATTGTAATGGACTCACACGAGCAACCAATTCATTACTAAAATATTTCATAATATTGTTCTGAAGCTATTTTCTTGTGGCATTTTAAATTAATTACTATTTAACTGGGAATAAGCCACAATTAAAGATAAAAATACGTTTATTGACGTTTCAATTTCCACTTCGGAAATCGTTCTCAAAATACAAACAGTAAATTAAACAAATTTTGTTTTTTGTTACATAGTGAAAAGTTCTTCTAATAATTTAATTTTATCTGACTTATTTATATTGACAATTCAGACATACATTATGCATTTTAAAGTAGACGACTTTAAAATGATGTCGCCAATATTGTTGAGTTGCGCTCCTGGGACGACTTTACTTATAAGATAGTTCATTCGATTACATGAAATCAACTTTAACTTGAGAATATCTGCCAGAAAAAAATCATAGCATGTAATTCGTCTTTACAAAGACAAACACATGACATGATGACAGTAAAATTCTCCTGTTAGTGATTCCATAGTACATTATGCGGGAAAAACCAGGAAAAAAACCTCATAATACTATCCCGACATTGTAAGTATTTGTTCGTGAATTTAGTTTACCTTCAACAAACACCAAAATTCTGATTTTATATGTTTCGTTATTTAAATTATCAGAATTTTGGTGTTTGTTGAAGGTAAACTAAATTCACGAACAAATACTTACAATGTCGGGATAGTATTATGAGGGTTTTTTCCTGGTTTTTCCCTCATAATGTACTATGGAATCACTAACAGGAGAATTTTGCTGTCATCATGTCATGTGTTTGTCTTTTTAAAGACGAATTACATGCTATGATTTTTTTCTGACGGATATTCTCAAGTTAAAGTTGATTTCATGTAATCGAATGAACTATCTTATAAGTAAAGTCGTCCCACGAGCGTAACTCAACAATATTGGCAATATCATTTTAAAGTCGTCTACTTTAAAATGCATAATGTATGTCTGAATTGTCAATATAAATGAGTCAGATAAAATTAAATTATTAGAAGAACTTTTCACTATGTAACAAAAAACAAAATTTGTTTAATTTACTGTTTGTATTTTGAGAACGATTTCCGAAGTGGAAATTGAAACGTCAATAAACGTATTTTTATCTTTAATTGTGGCTTATTCCCAGTTAAATAGTAATTAAAATATTTCAATTTACTGAACTCATTATAAAAAAGTTGATATCAAAATTATGGAATATATTTAAAATTTTTTCTTTAACTTGACCATTTAACATAAGTGTTTGTTAAGAAATTGCCATATACTTTTAAATTGACCCTTTAATATTTCCAAAAACCCATAATCCCGAATTTTTTCATGAAAGTATGTTTTGTGAATAGAAATCTCTCTTGTTGGTAATACCTGACAATTATACATCTATTGAAAACATTTATTATAATTTTTTGCTTAATACATTACTGGAGAGGTGAAAGAAAGCACTTGATGAAAGGTACGCCACAAAAGAAATATATCACTAAAATATGGCTGGGTACACGCACATATCTTCTGTAAAAATAATATAAACGAATGTGCAGAAATCTGTTCAAGGTAACCAACAGTTTCGATTGTTGTAGTTCTTAGGCTTCTTGATTTTGAAAAAAAGTTAAGCATCTAGGTCGTTTATGAATAGAACTTCTCTATTTTTTAAACCTGCCTGTTCCAGCGTTAATATAACATCTTGGCTTTCTTGACGACAATTCAACACTCGTTTTGGAAAATTGGTGGTTATTTCAAACGCATCTGGCGCATTTGGATGGCAAAATACGAAGTAAAACACCGACTGTAAAAAACATAAGTTAAAAAAATGTACACAAGATAAATTTATTAAATAAAAAGGTTGTTTTAAAAAGTATAAGCTTAATTTCATTCTTCCGATTTCTATTTCATTATGATTTTAAAAGCTTGTTACTTTTGTCACAGTTTAAGTAAAACCTAAAGCAAAGCGTCTTATATCCTAAACATGTATACCTAGTTTTTGAAGACATTTTATCTGCGAGTGCTCATCCTATTTATCACTATGAAGTAATTTATTAATTCTTTTTACTAACAAATTGTTTCTTGAATCAAAAATTAAATTTAGAGATCTACTCTATTAGCATTTCGTGTAAATTAATCATAAAGCGACATTGGTTTTTTTATACTATTTAAGAAAGTACAATAAAATAAAAAAAACTTTACCGTTGTCGTATGTATGGTTGAAATTAAATTTGAAAATCGTTTTATATTATACAGGGTGTCCCATAATTAATTGGACATTAGCTAACGAGTGATAGCTAACATCAAAATAAAGCGTTTGAGTTAAAATTGCTTAGGAAAAATGTTGCTAGTTCTCGTTCTACAGGGAGATTCATTAATATTTTTTTATATTATTTTTATGGATATATTGAAAACTATTCAACCGATTTAAGTGAAATTTGGTATCTTGCTATTATTTAGTATGCTTAATAAGAAAATGATATTAGTTTTACCATTGACACTAGGTGGCGCCACCTACTGTAACATTGGTTCATTAATGGGGCCATAATTTTTTTGTCCGCCCTGTATAAACATTCTAGGAAAAAAACATGAAATAACATTCAATTCTACACAAAAAAGGTATTCTTGTTTCAAATCAAAAAAGTATACCGTTTTCGAAATAAACGTATTTTGTTAATGATGCATGTCTCTATTTAATTTTTTGCAAAACAAGTACGCTTTGAACTCAATGACAACGTCAAGACGTAACTACGAATTCATTTATTATTAGTTGTCAAAGGTAACTACGAATTTATTTATTATTAGTTATAAAAATGCCACGTCATAGTGAATTTTCTAATGTAGAAATGCGCGATATGATCTGTTTGTATGCCCAGGAAAAATTTTGTTCTCGTAAAGCAGCTGAACTCTATTTCGAACTTTATCCCAATAGAAGACAACCAAACCATAAAACTATTAGATCAGTGTTCGACAGATTAGGCGAAACAGGGTCATTTCATCCCAAAAACAGGAATGTTGGAAGACCGAGAGTAATTGATGCGGATATGGAGGATGACATTGTTGTGCGTGTTGCAGAAGATCCAGAAACCAGTACAAGGCTTGTTTCTGCGGCCACTGGTATAAGCAAATCTACGGTGTCAAGAATAATACGGACAGAAAATCTGTATCTGTATCGTTTTACTCCAGTACAGAATCTTTTACCACATGATTTTCCAGCAAGGCTCCGATTTAGTCAGTTTATGATGGGGCGGCATTTAGACGATCCAATGTTTTATAATAAAATTTTATTTACCGATGAAGCCACATTTACTAGAAGGGGTGTGTACTTAGGGTCCAAAGAAACTCATTATTTAAAATAAGACAAAACTTACACAAAAGATTTATATTATGTAGTTTATCTAATGGTGCACATTTTGAACACTTATTGTAATTTTTTTTTCGTTTCGTTTTGAATTAGTCCCTTTGTTAATTGTTTTATATTCACTTCATTGTTTAATTTAATTTCTGATTTTTTTAAAATTTGTTACTGAGTCAAAGGTTTAATAAAAATAATTGTTTCAATCATATGCATTTTGTTTGCAAAAATTATCTACTACTAATACATTTAATATTCACTTTATTTAAGACCTTTTGAATAATGTTTGAATTTACATAAGTTTTTGTGAAATTTTTTTATTTTATGCACGTCTCTAAAAAATACGTTTATTTCGAAAACGGTGTACTTTTTTGATTTGAAACAAGAATACCTTTTTTGTGTAGAATTGAATGTTATTTCATGTTTTTTTCCTAGAATGTTTATACAGGGCGTGAAAAAAAATTATGGCCCCATTAATGAACCAATGTTATAGTAGGTGGCGCCACCTAGTGTCATCGGTAAAACTAATATCATTTTAATATTAAGCATACTAAATAATAGCAAGATACCAAATTTTACTTAAATCGGTTGAATAGTTTTCAATACATCCCTAAAAATAATATAAAAAAATATTAATGAATCACCCTGTAGAACGAAAACTAGCAACATTTTGCCTAAACAATTTGAGCTCAAACGCTTTATTTTGATGTCAGCTATCACCCATTAGCTAATGTCCAATTAATTATGGGACACCCTGTAATGATACACTCATTTAAAAGTGGGTAGGCCGTGTTCTGCAATTATTTCTTTCTAAGATTTTGTCTCCATCAGGCAATTGATTATTAACCCTCTAAGGATCAGTGTGACGTTTTCGTAACGTTCTAATCAAAAGCGATTTGTAGGCAAACTATTAAACTAATCTCATCGATGCCGAAAGTTACGAATTCGTAATATTACGCTTCATACTGAAACAGTCACTGCGACACACTTCGGCCAATTTTTCAACCGCATACTTCTCTAAACAGATTAGAATACAAGTTGACTGATGCTAACAGAAAACTGTAATTTTGATTTCGACAAAATCAGTGAATGTTTACCGGGAAGGAATCTGTAAAATAGTTATTAGCGGGAAAGTTATGTGTAGTATATGGATAGTTCATGCTTATCACTATAAACAGTCGTAAATTGAAGATTGAACACGTGTTGTAAACGTTACGATTCGTTACGTTCGGCGTTATAGAGTCGATTAACTAAATAGTTCAAAATGGATCCAGCTATGTTTTACGGACGAAAACGGCATCAAGCCATTGACATACCAAGTGATAGTGATGTAAGTATTTCTGATTCTGAAAATGAAAGTGATGAATGGGTAATAGAAGAGGACTTTGGTTCTGAAATTGAGGAAGATCTTAGTGATGGTGGTGAAGAAATAATAAACGAACAATATACGCGCAATAAGAATGAATATACTGATATAACAGAAAAAAACAATACTGACATTGTTACTCCAATGTGGAACTACAGCTTACCAAAAGCTACTTCTATAAAAGACCCCATAGACTATTTTAGAATATTTTTCGACGATAACTTTCTAAATTTGATTACTTACCAATCGAATTTATTTGCTGTCCAAACAAACCCCAATAAACCTCTGGGGCTGACAATAAAAGAGCTAGAACAATTTATGGGTACAATATTTTATATGTCTTTGATCAAACTACCAAAAACTCGATTATATTGGAGTTCTCAATTTGATATTACTACAGTTCGTGAAATAATGAGTCGAGACAGATGGGAAACAATAAAAAAACATATACATTTCTCCGATAATACCAAAATTGATCCATCAAACTTAGATAAACTGTACAAGATTAGACCCTTAGTAGAACATTTGGGAGAGAAATTTCGAAATATTCCAAAGGAGCAGATGGTCGTGGTCGATGAGCAAATGGTTCCTTTCAAGGGTCATTCCGGGCTAAAACAGTACATGCCAAAAAAGCCTCACAAATGGGGCTACAAAATTTATGTGTTGGCTGGCTCCAGTGGTGTTGCGTACGATTTTGAAATATATACTGGAAAAAATTCCGCTACTCCAGGATACAATGATATTGGTTCCAGCGGCAATATTGTTGTAACACTCTGCAGAAGCATTCAACAAGACAATCACCTTCTTTATATTGATAATTGGTTTTCATCGATACCTCTTTTGAATGAGCTAGTTCAAAAGAAAATATATTGTCTAGGAACAGTCCGCTCAAACCGTCTTCCTAGGTGTCCTTTATTGTCAGACAAAATCCTGAAAACAAGAGGACGCGGATCGTTTCAGGAAATAGAGTTAAAAACTGATACTGTACCTTGCAGAATTATCAAATGGCACGACTCTCGTGCAGTATTACTTATTTCCAACTTTTCCTCTGCCAAACCTCTTGATACAATTAGAAGATGGGATAAAACAAGAAAAGATACTGTAGATGTTCAGTGCCCCACAGCAATTAGAACTTACAATAAATTCATGGAGTAGATCTTATGAATTCACTAATAGGTCTATACAGAATCACAATTAGATCGAAGAAATATTACCATCGTTTTTTATTCCATTTTATGGATATGGCAGTTGTAAATTGTTGGCTTTTATATAGACGTGACTGCAATGATTTTGGTGTTCCAAAGAAAAACGAGCTGTCTCTGTTTGAGTTTAAGAGTCGCATAGCCGAAAGCCTAATGAAGCAAGGAAAGGCACTGACAGTTACCAAAAAATTAGGACGTCCCAGCAGTAGCTCTATTGATGATTTTCAGGCAGCAAAAAAACACAAAAGTGCAGCTACAAAAATGATTCCTCAAAAGGATAATCGGCAGGATGAAATAGGACATTGGCCCGTTGTGAAAGATAAAAGAGGACGATGTCGAAAACCTGGTTGTAAAGCAGTTCCTGTGCATTATTGTGAGAAGTGCAACGTGTACTTATGTATTAATAAAAATTCGAATTGTTTTTACGATTTTCATCATAATTAAAATTTGTCATGCTATTCAAAAATTATGTTTTTGCACTAATAAATATCTTCATTAAAATTATTGTATTACTTCTAGATGCCTAATGTGACGTTTTCGTAACGTTTAAAATTTTCAGTTTTTTTGCAAAAATAATGATAAAAATTTAATATTAATATGTCGTACACATAATTATTGATTTTAATTTAATTAAAACATTTTTTCGGGAGAATTTTTAAAATTTTGGAAATTTCGTCCTTAGAGGGTTAAAATATGTATCTAGAATGAGAAGTCAATGTATCAGGCTGGAAAACTTCATAATACCATTTAAAAATTGACCAGACTTAGAATAAGTATAATGGGCATAAGCGAAATGAGGTGGCCAAATAATTATTGTGCTTGTATTGTTGAAAACCATATGGTATACAACACTTGGAAAGGATGACTGTGAACATATGTATAGGTTGAAATAACCGTTTCTAGTCAATTACGTCAATATATTACAACTGTTATACCTGTTACACTAGTGAAAAGTGTATGCCCCCACCAGCCATAAACCAAAAGAAGATGTAGAGCAATTCTATGAGTTGTTTTCACTTAAACCACTTAAGATATAGCTATTATTATGGGTGACTTGAATGCGAAAATTGGTAAAAGGAAAAGCTGTGAATTCATTGGTGATTTTGTTCTAGGGAAGAGAAATGAACAAAGAAAGATTAAAACTTTGTAGAGAAAGAAGAATTTGCAATACTAAATACATTCTTCGAACTACCACCAAGACGCTTGTATACCTGGGTTTCTGCAATATCAACCAGGAAACAAATTTATTACATAATGGCAAACAAGAGATTCCGTAATGGATCCTTATTAGTTACCACTGTGCTGACATATCATCAGATCATGTTCCTGTTGTTGGTAAATTTTGGTTTAGGTTTAAGAAGGTTACAACAATGAATAGTAACAAAAATGCGATATAAGAAGACTACAAGATAAGGAAACAAAAGAGAGTTTCTTTCAAACAAAATAAGTAACATGGAGCATATAATGCAGAAGAATCACTCCAGAATATATGTGAAATCTTTAACAAGATCAAAGAAAAATATCTAATAGAAAAAAAAGGAAAGAGACAAAGTTGGATGAATGATAATTTACTGCTACTCATGGAAAAAAGAAGAAAATCGAAGAACAACAAAAGAATGTACAATATTCAGAGATAAAAAGCGAAATACAAACAGGACAACATTTTCAACGAAGATATTAGTCTTCTTTCCACCATGCAGACATTGCGAGATCTTGCAGTTTTCTTTCTTTTATCATCCTTTCAACTTCAACAATCGCAACGTAATGCATCCATGAAATCTTCAGAATCTTCCAATACGTCCACATCTCAAAGGAGTTAAGTATTGTTATCGCCTCTCGATTCAACGTCCATGCTTCGACTTCATACTGGATATGTAACATTTAGTCAATCGTATTTTTAGGGCTAATGTTCCTACATAATTAAACTTCTTTACTCTTTTCATCTGCTGCTCTCCTACTAAATCTTTAGTCTTTTCATCTGTTGATCTACTACTTTCTGATAATTTCCATCAGCTTATCATGTTTAACGAAACGCCAGAAAGAAATATTTCCAGTAAATAAAAATATATACCTATCGAAGCCTAATACATTTACAAAAGTAAACAATTCTTTGGAAAAAAAAGAGACCAAACAAGAGAAATATAGGTAAATTAACTGTAATCTCTAAACTGATCTATTTCGAGCTGCTGTGAATTGAATAAGATGGCAGAGAACTACGAACACAGAGAAGCGACACGAGCCCCGAAATCCGTGTACCGTTTCTGTATACGCATGCCCGAACCTGGTTGCTTTACTGTCAAAAACACGTGCGTTTTCTTCAACTCTGGTTGTTTACGATAGTCCGTAGGCACCTGTGGTAAATACTCGACTATACAAGTAGTGCATTTGACCATTTATCCAATTTACTTAGTAGTTAAAACTTTATAGTTATATTTTTATGGTTAAAAGTTTAATTTATAAGTATTTAAAATGTCTTCTGGTTATTGTTGTGCGTTTCACGTCTGTTCATCTGTGACAGGAAAAGGAATAAGTTTATTTAGATTTCCTAAGAAAAATAACAGGTAATTACTATTGCTTTGTAATTATTATTAGTTATTACATAATAGTATTAATTTGACTTTCGATCAGTAAGCCGACGCCGACGTGTCCGTCCGAGCTCTCGTTAAGTGGAGCAATAAAAAAATTAAATTTGGTCTGCCAAGGGATAGTTCAAAATAAAAACATTAGGTCAAAAAATCAACAGATGTTGGCCTACTGGTGTGAAAGCGCTCGCAGACAACAATACGAATATAGTATTTTTAGGAAATAACAATATATAGAGGATTTTATACACGAGAATATTTGATTTAAACGAAACAAAGAAATTCCTAAAATGCTCAAACTAAAAATTGTTAGAAACATAATTAGACCGATAATTGGGAAAATCTTAAAATTACAACAGAACAAGACTTCAAAATAAAAACATGGTTGCAAATAAACAAACTTACATTAGATTATGAAAAAACTAAATACTCATCTACTTTTTGCTATATACAAAAGTTGTCTGTCAATGTTTAATTCGTTAAATATAAATAACAAAGATCAAATATATGGATCGGAGTACACAACATATTTAGGGAATAAATATTTAAATGGGAATTACAAATAAAAATTATTAAAACTTTATTTGTTGTATATCTCAATATTTAGTGACAATTTTGTGACTTAATCAGGAGAAAACTGTAAATTTATTACGGTTACGGAGTACCAAGCAAGCTTTAAAGTTTCATATCCATTGGATTATAAAAATGAAGTTCTCAATCCCAGTATCTGGCCTGAAGGTTCAATGGTTCGTCGTTTTGACTTCAAGTATAAGAATTGTACTAACCGCAGTTAACAACAAAACCAGAAATAATTGTTACAAATCCGGCTTAGGCAAACTAGATACTACAAATAATTTTAAAGGCAATACCAATCAACCAAATATCGTATGTATTAACTCTGAATCTATTGTAAACAAAATAAATTATCGAAATATTACTTAAACTGTAAGTCTGGATTTACTATGTATATCCGAATTATGTATAATGACAATAATATAAATTCTTTTTATCTTCCTAATGCTCTCTTGTAATGATTCGGTAATACTTTTTTGATTATTTTTTAGGTTATTACATTTTTATATTTACAGAAATATACTCGTACAATAGTTACTTCTTGATTTTTTATTCGTTTTAGTCGAATATCGTTTACTCGAATATTCGACTTTAAAGGAAAAATGTACTTTTAATAGGTTTCCAAGACATTAACAATCGATATCAATATAAAGTTTCTTGTTTTTCAGTCTCACTCAAATAAAATTGGAATTTTTTAGAGTTTGTGAAATTTCCGTGGCAGTTACAATGGCTTTGTTATTTTTCGATTATATTACGAAAGATAATTTATTAGGAATTCCACGATGAATAAATTATATCTTGTATCAACACAAGCCAAAAAGAACCGGTGTATTATTGTATTATCAATGCCAACATCAGAATAAACAAAAAAGTATTTTCATCTATGGTTCCATCAATACGATTTTCACCATACTTTGCATTGTGCGATGTATTTGCAATCTTTTGTAAATCAAAAATAATTACACCATTTAGAATGTCAACAAAAGTCGGCCCTACATGTAATTATTTTTTCAGTGCAATATTTCATATTTATTGAAAATCAACATAAATGCTCAATTTTATTTAAGAAATTATATTGTGTGATATGCCCACTGACTATTAGTTAGCTGGTTCTTTTTCACTCATTGGCGGCTTGCCCACGCAAGATCAAAGGAGTGTCGCTTCTCTGCGTTCGTAGTTCTCTGAAGATGGGTCAATGTGGTCGCCAACATCTCTAGAAGATGGCACATTTAGAAGAATTGTAATCACTTCTTTATATATTAAGAATAAAAAACATAAAGCCTATGAGCTAATATACTAACTATTATATAGTAGGTCCTTGTTTTCCTTGTCCCACTTTTCTTTCCACTAATTTTCTTTATTACAGTGGGAGCCAGTTCTTTATATACAGCTCTGGGTGTCAGGAATTGTTAGTAACGAGACTGAGGATACTCCTGCTGTAGAAGAAAATACTAATTTTTTTCGGATCGGGAATATTCTGCGATATTGCAAAAAGTAGCACTTACTTATTACAGCATTTTTGGGAGTTACCCTGTATTTTTGTGCTGATATCGTTCAACCCCGTCCTTGCAGATCCAGCGTTGTGGCTAGATACCATAATATTCTAAACGATCTACTTCTAAAATCTACAATTGCACAATTGAAACATAGGTGAAAGACTCCAGTTAAGATTTTTGTAAGAAACTTTGATTTCTCTGGTGATAATTCCACTTAATATCATAAATGATTACCTACCTGTACAAAAAATTTTCAAAATTTCCTAGTGAGTTATCGCAAAATCGAAGTATTTAACTTTAATTAACCAGAAAGAAGAACGTCTGCATCTAAAGAAAATGTGGATGGCAATCCAACCGACAGGGCATAGGGCGCAGATAAAGGATATAAAAAATATAAAACCTTGAGAAAAACTCCAATTGCTATCACATCGTCTTTGATGTGTGTCACAATTGCAGACAAAGCATCAGGAATAAATAATTCCAAACCACGGCTAACAAACTCGAAAAACAATATAATTACTTATTTGTCCTTTTTTCAGCTATAATTTAGCTCTATTTTACTTATTTTATGTTAAAATTATAAATATTATTCCGAAATTATTATATCTATTTAAATTCCATGAACATTCAATAAAGCATTTCCACAAATTTCAAATTAAAACAAATCAGTACTGCTTACCTCTAAGGAATGTGTTTTGAGAAATCGTCTCTCAAGTCTACTACCACAAGGCAATTTAAAAACTACATGCACAGCATCAGGATGGCTAGCTTCTGGCTCTGGCGGAACTCTTTGTAAGGAATCAATTTTTTCTTGTGCCAAACTTTCTCTGCGCGCTTGCTCGGCGAGTTTTTCCTAAAATATGAAGTTTTAAAATCATTTTGCAATCTAGTAATATATTTTTCATACAAAAATAATTACACCTAGTACCCGATACAGATTATCTCTTTAAAATATTATGATAAATTCCAGATATGGTTCTTCTCAGACCCTTTAGTCACCACATATTTTAGTGTTTTAGGCATTTCTAGAATTATTGCATGTAATTTAAGACAAATTTGACAGTTACCAGTGTTGCATTAGAAAAATATATATTTGTTAGTATTCTCCCTGAGAGAGCAGGCATATGTGGGAAAGAATTTTTTTCGGACGACACCTTCCGTCTGCACAGCGAAAATGCCGGTTGTTGGGCCTCCGACTGGAGACCATTTGCCAGAAATGTCTGGCAGTAGTGGTAAATTGAGTAGGCAGTCATTAAAATAGTACGAGGTAAATCAAAGTATGTAGCAACCCAATAAGAAAAACAAAGTAAGAAATAAAGTTTAATTTGGTATATATTAATTCACTTTTCGATTAGGATGCAAACATCAGTAACCCTAAAAAGAAATAGGTCACTGAAAAAAGGCTCTGAGAAGAATAGTATATACTATAATATAATAAAATAAATACGGGGCATGATAAATTGTTCTGTTTTCTATTCATAGACCAAGAACAGAATTTAAAAGACAATTTTTGAGTACATCATTTTGAGCAGGCTTTGGTTACCAATACTAAAAGAAGAATTCAACAACAAACATATACCAACAATAGCGGATTAAGTAACATATCGTATTCAATTGCACATAATACATATGCAACACACAATATACAAACATATTCTATGTAAAAACACATCGCATAAACAAATAATAGAAAATAAACAAAAAAAAAAACACTCAAAATTTTATATTCCGAGGATAAACACACCACCCTCAAATTTTTTTCATCAAAAGCAGGCTATTGCCTACAAGATCGAGGCCAAATAAGCCATTCTTTTCCAACAGAAAATTTCAGTGGCGTATATCTTTCTTCTTTTCGCTTGTCGTAAGGTCCAAGATTCACATCCGTACGTCAGTATTGAGAATATTAAGCAGTATTTTCACTTTTTGAGATACTATGTTATATGATAACCAAAAAGGATCTGGCGAAGAAAAACTTCTTTCCTTTTATACTTCATTTTTTGATTCATTGAAAAAACTGATAAATTTAAAATATACCTAACATATAAATAAAATAGAATTATAATGTGTCAGCTTATTTGCCTACCTCCTCTAATTTACGAAGCTCCTCCTGTTTGGCCCTTCTTTCTTGCTCACGCCTCCTTTCTTTTTCTTGATCAGCTCTTAAACTTTCCTGAAAAGCTTCATCTTGTTGAAACCTCAGTGATCTGAAAAAAATATAATCATTATATTGATTATAAGCAACAGTTCAAAAGATCAAAAGTATCCTATATTATTTATAGTCGCCTAACTGTATATTCAGGGGAGCTTATTAGCGAATCAAAGTGGTTTTAGGTTTGGTTAAATCTGGCATACGGAAATACTGGAAAAAATCAGAGAATTCAATATTGGCATCTACCACGTTTTCAATGACAGAGCAGGAAACATACGTCATCAATTCATTGTTGACAGCTCTAGCTTTGAAGTACTAGACAAATACACATACTTAGGCTCCCTAATCGCCAATGAGAACTCCAGAAGGAAAAACTCAAACAAAGGATAATCAAATAAGTGCTATTTTGGGCCGAGTAGACCCATAAACAGTAGAAACTTAAATAATTTAATAAGATATCTGCATCAGAAACATGGACCATCCCTAAGGCAGATGAAAATCTTTTGCTGATATTTAAAAGAAGTATCATGAGACAAATATTGGTAGCATCTGTGAAACAGTGTTTGGAGAAGGTACATCTATAAGACATACCACAAATACAAACAGATATCTGGTGGTAAATAAGTGGTATCTCTTATTTATAACCTGCTGGAAAGATATGTTTCAAATAAATTATGTGGCTTAAGTTCTCGTCTTGAACTGCACAACGCAGATGTGTAAAAACAGGGTAATCAAAAGTATCTAAGTACATGGAAAATAAAAAAATATTTAGCCATTAGTTTGCATATTCTTGATATCGGCACTAATAGTCTTTTATGAATATATTTATTTAAGGCTTCATTGTTCTCTGAAGCATGGTGACGTTTTACTTAATTTAGAAATTAAACAGTTTCTGAGGAATTGAAAAGTTTCTGAGAACTTAAAAAGTTTCTGAGAAATTAAAAAATTGTTGGTGTTAGATGAATCGACTGAGATCAACGCACTTTGAGGGCTGTATTGGTAAATTATAATTATGAAACTGACTAAACTAAATTAAAACATAAGGTTAAAATACTGTTACAATATGACAAGATTTAACTTATGAAATTTGATATAACCATAGTTCACAAATACAAAATATACAAACCTGTTAATACTTGCTTCTAGTCTATCAGCTCTCGCACTTAGTAAATTAATCTCGTACTCACTAACAATGTTCGTCAGTCTCTGTTTTAACAGTATTGCATCAGTAAATCCTTCTAGCCTACCTATGAACAAAATAAATTATCCTTAGCATACAAGCTTATATAGTTACAAAATACCTGGAATTATTGCAAAGATATTTAAAAGCCTTATTTACATACAATTGATTGTATAAGAGACATAAAGTTAGAGAAAACATATGGCAAGCCTAATGAAATAAATGCTCAAATTTTGTTCAATTTTAATACTAATTAATCATCATGTACATCTTTTGTCAAACTTTCAGATATAAATTAATCTGAATAAAGTTTTATTTAGTTGTCTAATCTGCAGTTGGCAATGTTCGGGTCCATGTTTGTATTTTTCTTAAAGGCTAGCATATCATTAATGTTGTCTACTTCGGTTTTCCATCAATTACCACAATTCTTTCAAGATAATAGACTGGTTCCAGCTGATTGGATATATAAGCAATATTTTTCTTAGAACATTAATAGGCTTGTTTTGACTCTCTTGCTGGGATTTCCTTATATAACTGGTTTCTCAGTAGGAAAAAGTTTATGGTCGGTATGGACCTTACGTGAGATGGAGTGAGAAACAGCTGTTTAGAAAGAGAGAGGTATATTAGGTCCGCCCTTTATATCGCCAAACATGCATGCCTGGAAAGGGAAGTTCAACGTTGCCGAACTTATTGGATTTATTTGACCTGTTGTTTTTTTTTGCATTTGAACAATGTTCTAAGATAATCCAATTTGGGCGAAATTGATTTAAAATGGCAGCTTCCTGTTTTTTTTTTATTGGGAATATGCCACAAGTTTACAATAAGTGTAATATAACATTTTGATTTCCACTTCGGAAATCGTTTTATATACCTAAATAAAATTTATTAATGTTTCGTATTTTAAGTATGATTTCCGAATTAAAAATCTAAACATCAAAATAAGCTTATTTTAAAGTCACATTGTGCCTTAGTCTCAATAGGAAATAATAAACTGCATATAGTAACGCCACATTAAAAAATATTCATACACAATAATTATTTGGCAACGTCGGTCTGGTCTGGTTTGGCCGACCGAGTAACGAGTAGTATAATAGAGTTGGGTCATGGTAGTTTTATCGTTAAGAGCGTAGGCACAAAATTTTGTTCCAATATTTTTTAAATACATTAATTTTTTGCGAAAACTAATATTTTTGAAAAATTTAAACGCAGAATGAAACAATACGTTATTACCGAGGGCCGAAAGTCCCTGAAAACTTCTATAATGTTTATTTTAATAAGTTATAGGGGTGAAAAAAAATTAGTGTGATTTTTAATTTCAAATATCTCATTCAAAAACCTTTTTGTTTATTCTAAGGGACATTCGGCCCTCGGTAATAATGTAATCTTTTATTCTGCATTAAAAATTTTTCAAAAATATTTGTTAGTTTTCTTAGGATTCCAAAAAAAATGAATGCATTTAAAAATTTAAATTTTTGTAAACAAGTAACTATGATTGTTTAAAAGTAGTTTTAAGTAAGAGAGTACCTACATAAATAAACATAATGGCTATTATCGTTTATGTGTATATTTATTGAAGTGAAAGAAACTAATGATTTATTTATTATAACTTGAAAAATAAACTAAACAATACAAATAGTAACAGGTACTTACATTTACATTACACGTTATTATTAAATCGCAAATAGTCTAAATTGACATTCAAAAACATACCTTATTAACCGTTTTTCAACCTTATTAACCGTCTTCTTTTTTATTTCAAATTAAACCAGATTTTGAACATGTGTTCACTTTTACAATACTAATGGTGGTTAAGTTAAGATATACATGGCGATGGTTTTTCCACCGTTGTAATGGACTCTCGATTCAGGTGTACGTGTAGATGAGCCATCTCCAATTAATTTATCAAAAATACACCATGGATTTAAGTCATCTTTATTGGTTTCTTTTTCTTGTACTGGTTATTTTCAATAGTACAATCTTCTTGTTCGTTAATTATAGAAGTAACCAGCTTCTTAACTTTTTCTTTAATTTTTTTATCTTCATTTTTATCAAAAAAACCCTACACTTTAAATGGTGAATCCATAAATGTACATAATATCAATGTGCCACTCTGTTCTATCCCTTTAAAACTTTTTGCTAAACCCGATATTAGTAATTGTACTACGTCGGATACTATGGATGTAAGGTTTGCTAAACCTTATTGCTAAATTTACCGTTTGCTAAAATTTTATTGCAAGATTCTTGATTGGCAGCGTACCATAACAATCACTGAACTACCCTTCAAGTATTTTTGGTCACTCATTGTACTTGTTATTTCTTTAAACGGCCGTAAAATTTGGGAAAGCTGAGAACAAATAATCCAGTGTTATTTATTTAGATTTTGTCTAAGTCTAAGTCTGTATTATTTAATACCGATGTGGAACGGATTGCCTCTTCTAACTCGGTCATTTTTTTAACATGTAGTAGGTGAAGCTCTACCTAGTTTCCACGTCTTGGATTGGCCATTTGGGAACTTTGTTATGTTGTAATTAATATTTTAAAAACCTCTCTGAAGATAAGGTACTTTTTTTTAAATGTGTTTTTTGCAGAATTGTCGAAAATAGGACTTTTTATTTTATCTATTATCAAATCAGTTTTGACATAACATTCCTGAAGTAATGAACCTGACAGTTTTTCTTGTTGGCAGTTTATATCCAGGAATCCACCCTGCAAACTTTTTAAAAGCTGGTTCTTCACCTATGGAAAACGGATGAAACGAGTCTTTGCATAAGTTTAGTAAATCTTGAAAATCAACCAGTACAAGAAAAAGAAACTAATAAAGATGACTTAAGTCCATGGTGTATTTTTGATGAATTAATTGGACGTGACTCATCTAAATATACACCTGTATCGAGAGATATAAAAGAAGTCGACATGTATTTGTCTGATGATATATTACCCAAAAAAATTTCGAACGGAGACTGGAACTGTCCATTACCGTGGTGGAAAAACCATCGTCATGTATATCCTAACTTAACCACATTTACCAAAATATTGTAGTATTGTAACAAAATCTTTTCCTTGTGAACACATGTTTAAAATCTGGTTTAACTTTAAATAAAAGAAGAACACGGTTAACAAGAAAAGTGGAAAAACTTGTTTTTAAATGTCAATTTAGACGATTCGCGATTTAATAATGTGTAATGTAAATGTAAGTACTATTTTGTATTATTTAATTTATTTTTCAAGTTTTATGAAATATATCCTTCGTTAGGTTCTTTCACTTCAATACTTATACACATAAATGATAATAGCCAATATGTTTGGTAACTCGCTAATTTGAATACTGGTAAACAATCAACTAGTTACAGTTACGAAAAACGGTTCCGAGAAAAATTTAAAAAACGAGAGGATCCACCCCTAGTTTTTTAGGTATATTAGGATCGGAACCAGAGAATATGTAAAATATCTCTGATCGGAACTATTCGTCTTACGAATGAGCAATGAGTGTTAAAAATATTTATGGAGGGGAGACCAAGGGGAAATATGATTGTTATCTTTGTCTATTCGCTGAAAATATGATTTTATATCTGCGTTAGATATCCTGTTAAATTTTACCATACCGACCATAAACTTTTACCTACACTGTATAGTCGTCTTTTAGGTAAAACAAAATATTTGCTATAACCCATTTCTCTTCTTGGCAGAACTGTATTAGTCATCCTTTCCAGTAATATCTTGTGTGATTTCGACACCAACTTTTAAGTTGAAGTCTCCCATAATAATAATAGCTTCATGTTTTCTTGTGCTCCAGAGAATTTGTTTCATTTGTAATATTATTTCAGTAATTTATTTTGCCATTGACCATTGAAAGGAACGAAATTTCGAATAGTTATGAATCTCTTCTTTGGCAATTATTGAGACTGCGTTATGTCTGGGCCCTCCTGCCTTGGCCTAGTGGTATACAATGTATCTTAATTACAGCTAATTATAGCATCTTAAATGTGTATGCCCCTACAGAGGAAAAGGAAGACGATGTCAAAGAAAAATTCTATGAAGAACTAGAAGCTGCATACCATTCATGCCCAAAGAATGACATCAAAATTATTTATGGTGATCTCAACACAAAAATAGGAAAAGAGCAACAATACCTATTAACTATGGGTAAGCACAGCCTTCATGAGGTATCCAATGACAATGGCATTAGACTAATAAATCTAGCAACTTCCCTTAATATGGTCATTGCCAGTACATGCTTCCAGTGAAAATATATTCATAAGGGAATGTGAAGATCTCCAGATGGGGTCACAGTAAACATGATCGATCATGTTATTATTGACGTTAGACATCCCTCAGATGTAATAAACATATGCAGCAGAAGAGGGGCAAATGCAGACTCAGATCACTACCTAGTGGAAAGTAGAATAAGAGTCTCAAACATTAAAAAAGAAAAGGGATCCAAAATTGAAAAATATGAAATAAAAAACTTAGCAAACAACAGCAAAAAGGCAAAACACAAAGAGTATATAAAAGGAAGGCTAGAAAATAGACAAAAGCACGAGGATATAAACAGAGAATGGGAAGCGTGTAAAAAAATCATACAAGATGCGGCCAAAGAGACCCTGGGTCTACAAAAAAAAGCCCAAATCAACTGAAGGACAGTGGTTCGATGAAGAGTGTCGTAACATAACAGAGAGGAAAAATAATGCATATCAATAAGTACAACAACGACATAGAACACGAAAGGCAGAGGAGGAATATAGAATGCTAAGGAGGGAAGAGAAGAAAATACATCGCAGAAAGAAAAGAGAACACATAGAAAAAGAACTCCAAGAAATGGAAGCACTAAATAAACCATCAGAAAATAGAAAATTCTACCAAAAATTTAGAAACAAAAGTAGAAAAGAATTTAAACCAAGAACAGTGATGTGTAGAGACAAAGAAGAAGATATAGTAACTCAACAGAGTGAAATACTACAAAGATGGACAGAATTCTTCAAAGAACAGTTTGTAAAAAAAACGAAGATCCACTATATAATGGAATTATACTGGATCAAACGGATACCAGAGAAACAACCCCCCCTTCAGTAGCTGAAATGCAAGAAGCAATTACCAGACTGAAAAACATCAAGTCACCTGGATTAGACAACATTAGCGCAGAATTAATAAAAGAATGTGGAGACTCCCTATTGAATGCAATACACGAACTAATAGTGAACATATGGAATAATAAACTGCCACAAAACTGGAATACTGGAGTAATTATCCCACTACATAAAAAGGGAGATCAGCTTCAATGCAAAAACTACCGCACAATAACGCTACTGACTGTGGCATATACTGTCAAATATTGTGTAGGTATGACTGATTGAGACCATATGCGGAACAAATAGTTGGGGCATATCAATGTGGTTTCCACAGGCAGAAATCCACAATAGATCAGATCTTCGTCTTGAGGCAAATGTTGGAAAAGACTAGTGAATAGTAATATAGACACACATCATCTTTTCATTGACTTTGAGAGTGCCTATGATAGCATCCATCGAGAGTTTCTGATCCATGCACTGAAAGAGTGTAATATTCCAACTCAACTCATTGATATAGTAAAAGAAACACTTAAAGTACAAAACAAAATTCGAATTCAAAACGAACTAATAGATACAATACATGTGAGAAAGGACCTATGACAGGGAGATGCCCTATCCTGTATTCTATTAACATCACGTTAGAGAAAATAATTAGGGAGTCAAAAGTCAACACCAGAGGAACAATAATAACAAAAAGTGTACAAATATTGGCATTTGCAGATGATGTTGATATCATAGCTAAAAGCAAAAGAGAGATGATAGAAGCATTTAATACGATAGAAAGAGTAGCACAAAAGAGTGGCCTAAACATTAACGAAATAAAAACCAAATACATGAAGGCCAGTAAATCGACAGGCCAAAGAAACCTACAGAATCTGACAATACGAGACTATAACATCAAAAGCGTGAAAAGTTTTACATATCTAGGTTCACTAGTTACCGCAGATAACAATATCAGTGAAGAAGTTAAGAGAAGAATACATATCGCTAATAAAACATATAATGGACTAATTAAACATCTAAAATGCAAAATATACAAGACCCTGATAAAACTGGTCCTTGTATATGGATCAGAGACGTGGACACTGTCGAAAAGCGATGAGAACCTATTGGGTACATTTGAACAAAAAATCCTTAGACACATATATAAGGGGGTAAAGGAAAATGACATATGGCGCAGATGATATAATTTTGACTATACACAGCATGCAATGAACCCGAGATCGTAACATCCATAAATATCAGATATTTGCGCTGGATGGGTCATGTTGAACAGATGTTGGAGACTGAAACGCCAAAACATATAATGAGGAAAACACTAGTAGGGAGTTCAAAGGGAAGACCCAAACTTAGATACATGGAACAAGATCTGAAAACACTTTAGATTACCAACTGGAAAAACAAAGCAAAGAACAAAACAGAATGGCAGAAAATCCTAGAACAAGCCAGGACCCAGAAAGGGTTGTCAAGCCACTGATGATGATGATAAAATGTATCTATTACCCTCAAATGTGTTTGATCCTGGCCATTTTGTTTCACAGACACTTATGATGGGATGGGATGAGTTATGTATGGATGTATTTAAAACACTTTCCTTTTTACATCCTTTTTTAAAACTATACAAAAAAAGGGTTAGCAAATTTTGAACTTAATTATTCACCTTTATTTAGATTTAGAAATTTACATATTCTTAAGTTATGTCTCAATTATTAAATTTCAAATAAGATACTTACCAACAATAGTCATCTTGTTATCCTTAAGAACTAAAACGGCCAAAAATGGATAAGAACTTGCTCTGACAGCTGCAGCAGTTTTTGTACCCTCATCAGAATATGCAGAACAGCCCCAAAATAAAAAGTTTTGATTCACATATCGAATTATTTCTTGATCAGCTAATGTCCTATTACAGAATTTATCTGTGTCTGGTGCTTTGGAATCATGTAAATACACTAACAAAAACCTTAATTCTCTTTTAGTATCATTTAATACTTGTGAGAAGGTTCCTTGATAAAATACAGGATGGATTCTAGGATACTTTTCTTCATAAACTCTAATAAAATCCATCACATCTTGTAGGTAATTTGGCCTGCGTGTATCTTGTATACCTAAACAGAAAACAAAATATTTAAAAACATTTTTTGTAGGTATCATTGGGACAAAATTGTACAATAATTTTCTTTAAATTAATCTACTACTCTTAGTAAGGCACTTATACTTATTCTGTAAAAATTTACTAAAGGAAATCTCCAGAAAATCTTAAATTTTCATGTGTTTTTGGGTGCAAACTGGTTGCAATTAATTAAATAAACCCTAATACTATTAGAAAGACAACTGACCTCGTTATTCATTAAAATTATTAAATACAGGGTGCGTCATTTAAAATTATTGACTTACTACCTTAAAGAATTTTACTTAAAGCCCAATCAATGAAAACAAATCCCAATACATCTATATGATTAATAAATACAAAATTTTCATTTTTGCAGTCACAAAATTTGCAAGTCACAATCAATACCCAAATATATTTTGGCTTACATATGGGCAAAATCTGTTCCTTACTCTAAGTTTAGCACCATTTCATAACTTTTAAGAGATATAGAGCAAATGTGGTGACACTATAATTGAAATTATAGATATAGTACTCTTTTATTTTTGTATTTCATGTAACTTCACTGTAAAAAAGTTATTTCTGTAAAGCTTTATGAGAATAAGGTAATATTACAATAAATAAAAGAAACCTAAGTATATGAAAGAAGTCTAGGGTGTCAGTACTACTTATATTACATCCAATAAAGGTAGCTGGGTGAACATTTTGCTCGATTATTATGAATATTTGTTTGGTCCCAAAAATGTAGAATTATCTCACTTGACAAAGAAAAAGTTATACAAAGAATTCACAGCTACAAACCTGTAAGATTTGTCTGTCAAAATATCAGCAAGGATATGAGATGTCATAAACTTCCTTAAAGAGAATAGGGGAAACAACTCTACAGAATTAAAATCAAAATACCCAAGAAAAATTGAAGTTGCCCTAGGAAAAAGGCATTAGTTTTGAGGATCTGCAAATTCTAAAAGCTGAAGCTGGTTTTAAAGGTAGAAGAGCAATCTAAAGGGAACTGTAAACAAAGTTCTGAACATAAAAAAACAGTGATATCACGAAAAAGAAATTGTAAGATCCAATACACAAAAGAGAAATAAAAATATAATCTTATTTTTGCAAAAAAAAAGCAATATTTTGTTGACACATGATCTTCCCTGACTACTAGATTTCCATACAGTGAAATCATTAAGGAAACTGGCACAGATGGATTTAAGTTAGATTCTAGCTTTTCCAATTCCAGTGTATCTTATGATATGAATTACATCAGATGATAAAGAATTTCTTTATGTTGATGAATATATTATTGTTACACAACCCTACACACTCAATCACTTCCATGCAAAAATTGATGTTTATGCTGAGGATATGTGATATGTTTGGATATTAGAGGTGGTCCAGGTTACAAAAAACATTTGGAAATGACGAAAAAAATCTCCATGAAATTGTTATCATTTAGCTTACTTACATGTATGTCTGGATCTATTTGAAGTAAATGATAACAAGTTTTTATTCAATGTTTCATAAAGAACACAATACAATTTTATTCAAAGACTGTTTATGAGTTGTTCATAAAATTCTGTTAGTTTTCAAAGTTACTAACAGAATCCTGGAACTAAAACTAAAAAAGATACACTGATCAAATTATATAAAACTATTGCTGTTACCAAGTCAGACATGCAGAAATGAGATCTAGATAACTAAAAAATAAAGCCAAATAGAGACACAAGAAATAAAGCTTTTAAATATGTTGTACCTTATACCAGAATAATAAATGATGAAATAAGAATTGAGTTAAAGATATATAATTTGAATAAGAGAATTAAGCAATACTGAAATACTTTCAATGAATATATTCAAACAATGGCTGATGGCAGATTGCCACTAAAAGCTATTAGATACAGTTGGTTAGAAAGGAGAAGAGTAGGACCAACATTTAAGAAAATTATTAGTTCAAACAGGCAATAGTGCTTATTATGTGAATTAAATAAGAATAATAAAATCCTTGGGATCAGCAATAAAATATTACACAATTAAGTACTATAAAACTTTCACAGGAATGAAGCACATTACACGAATTTCCATAGATATTACCTAAACTTCCACAAAAGAATATATCCTACCAGCTGTTGTAAATAAAATTGAGATCCTCATAAAATCAGGAACTAAATAATGGAATACACTTGGAAAATATTTTAAATAAATATTACATACAGTTGGTACGTACGGAGTAATCTACGGCCAAGTTGAAGCAATGTGATCAGTGTGTTGTAGCACATATTAAACATGAAATTAAATACAGTCTTAAAAAGTCCTCTAAATCCGCTCCCAGAACCATCTGTAGGTGGTGTATAAAAGACATGTTGTCCTAAATGATCACTAACAACTGCAGGAGGTCTTGTTTCAGTGGCATATATGCTAGGTCTTCCTTCTCTAATATTTAATTGTTCTTGAACTGCAACTTCTAAGTTCCATTGGTGCCTTTGTAAAACATCTCTGCATATAGTGATGTCCTCAATTCCAGTTAGGTCTTGCAATTGAAGAACTTTTTCAGTTTGTTCTGTGGTTAACCCAAGACTCCCGTTATCCCTTAAATAATTCATTTTATAATTTATTATTGCGGTGCGTAGAAAAATACATTAATTACTGACAAAAAAGGAAAGTATTTAGTATGTTATTGGCCAAACAATAAATGTCACATCATACGACTTTTCAACCATTTGCAAAATGTCAAAAGACAACTGTCAGTTTGCTGTCAAAATTTCAAAATAGTTTAGTAAATTAATTTAAATTAGAAATGAGACACTCTTAAACTTAGTTATTATTAAATAATTAAAATATATTATTGATACACTAATCACAAAAAGTATCGCATAATTCTTAAAACAGAAAAAAAGTTTAAAAGTAATTTTTCAGTTTTAGCAGAATGTTATAATGCTCGTCTATGGTTTCCTTTAGTGGTGTCTACAACCCATAACATTTCAAGGTTGAAATGTGTTTTTGCCGAAAAAAAGTAAACAAAACGTTAATAAGAGAGAATATATATTTTGGACGTTTGTGTTCGAGAATTTTATCTGAGCACTGTCTGCTTAATTTTTCAATAAGGAGGTGAATTCTTACAAAAAAAGAGTAATTTAACGGTTTAAGGTTATACAAGAAGACTAGTTCCAGGAGGTCCCCGGTGCACATACCCCACAGATCACAGTTATTTATGTTTGAAGACTTTGTGTACACGTCATGTGACAGATAGGGAACAATAGTTTTTCCACAGTCCGTAATTATGTTCGAATAAGTGTCAATTCGGTTAAAAACAGATTAAGAGAATTTGGGGTCAGAGCCAGAATCCCAGAATGACTGCAACTGCTCCCCTGTTAACGAGGGCACACTGTACTGCACGTTTAAGGTTCGTCCGAGAACATATCAATTGGGAGATTAACGACTGGGATATTCTTTTTACCGATGAGTCATTTTCATCTTTTGCTAGAGCTCTATCGAGCGCCTTCCCAGGTGACGGATAGGGTAACACTTCCCAGATATGAGTGGTACCGGAGAAATGAAATACCCGGGGTGGACCAAAACTAGTACACAATATCCAACCCAGAGTGGGCGAGTGCAAATAGCGTATGTGTCCAAAGAATTGGATAAAATAAAAACCAGAGAAGGCAACGGGAAACCACTACGGCAAATATGTCCAAAAAAGCTACAATAAAAGCAAAACAGAAACGTCTCCTAGTCCCCGGTATATCTTAGATGACTAAGAGATACGAAGAATACCCATTAACAATAGTTTAAATGTTTTAAATACGAACTTTAAGATTGCAACATGGAACATTAGAAGTCAGTTCGCACCGGGAAAACTTGTAAACGCATTCCACGAGATGAAACGTTTAGGAATACATATATATATATATATATATATATATATATATATATATATATATATATATATATATATATATATATATATATATAATTTAGAAGACAATTATAATAATGCTGTCACAAACTTTGTGCCATTTTCTGACCTACTTGAACCCATGGAGGTGCTAGAAGCATGATACTCAGAGGTAGAAAAACTTATAAAGAAGGCCGAAAAACGAGAAATAATTTTATCTTAGGCGACTTAAAAGCTAAGTTGGGTACAAGACAGATTTCTGAATTGATTGGAGACTTTGGACTTGGAATAAGGGAAGATAGGGGAGAGAGAATGCGCGAATTCTGCCAATAATACAACATGGTATCGACAAATACATGCAGTGAATTTAAATTACATCTTCGCAGATTATACACTTGGACTTTACGACAATATAATGAAAACCGAGTAATTCGTATTCAAATAGATTATTTATTGGTCAACAAAAGATATCACAATGCTGCCATCAGTGCAAAACATATTCAGCAACTGGCATCAATTCCGATCATAATCCTGTTGTAAAAAGTGTGCACAAGGTGGAAACTAATAAAAGAAGAAAAACCTCAAGCCAAACTAGACAACCAATTATTGAAAAACAACACCATACAACAGACAATACACAAAGAATTAAATAACAATTTAGAAAATATTGATCACAATAGGATTACTGAGTCCGATAACGTAAACGTCCTGTGGAAAATTATTAAAAAACAAATGAACAACGTAATAGAAAAACATCTAAAAGCAACACCCAGAAATAACAAATAGGAATGGATAACAAGAGATTTACAATTAGTGGATAAACGAAGAGAATCCAAAGATGACAAGGACGGAGAATACAAAAGACCAAATAGAATAATTTATATAATAAAAAAATAACCGAGGCAAAAGAGAAATGGATGGAAACAAAATACGTCGAAATGGAAGAACTGCAACAAAGCTAAAATTTCTTTAAATTGCGTAAAAAGGTAAGAGTTCACATCGACCAACAAGAGAACAACCTTACACACCATCCTGAACACGGATGGCAAATTACTAGAATTGACCGAATATAAACTAAAATAATGTTAAAACTGTATCAAAATACTTTTTAACGGCATACGAAAAGAACCAAGAAGATTGGACAACAATAACGAAGGATTAGAAATTCTGAAAACGTTGAATATACCCAGAAACGTTGAAATACCCAGAAACGTTGAATATACCCAGAAACGAGTAAATATCAACAGCATCATGCGATGAGACGGTGTTGATTACGGATTTCGACTTTGGTATACAGCGACCCATCGAGAGGACTTGATGTGCGAGCAATTTGATATAAAAACAAACATTAAGAAAACTCGAAAAAAGTGATGTCAATCCGAAAAAAACCAAAACGTACCTCAACCTTGCACAATAAATGAAAACATTTTAGAACAAGTCAACAACTTCAAATACCTAGTATGTTGGATCGATAGCAGTCTAAACCCTGATCTAGAAATAAGATCGAGAATAGAACAGGCCTATATTGTAGCGATCACATCTTATTTTATTCACAGCAGCTCGAAATAGTAGTGGCATCGCACCATTTGTAATTAACAGATTGGACAATATTAACCCACGATTCGTCCGAATATATTATCGCAATAGTACTTTTGCAAACATCGTATAGTCCCCAAATAATTATGGCGTCAATGAATATCCTCCTGCTCCACGACGATGTTTCTTCGGCCACGTTATAAAAAAATCCTTTCTTTCACAAGCCTATGTAAAGTAGAGACAACGGCGGTATATTCTCTTGTTTTAAGTTATTTAAGGTATTTTATTTAAAAAAATTAACAAACGAAATAAAATTTTCATTCAAAAATTAATTATTAATATTTGCGGTCAGATTGACTGGCAACCTATTATCAATGTAGTCTCCTAATTTTTAATGTATGTAAAATGTGAGTTTGATTAACTATGTTATGAACGTAGTCATCTTGCAGTGGAATCTTGTACTATAACGGGTTTTTATGATTTTTTTATTTCCTAACCTCCGACCATATTTGTTCAATTTGTATATTTTTACGTATTTAAGTAAATGGATTCTTGATTCTCTAGATTGAAGATTCTTTTTTGGGCATTTTTATTAAATTCTGAAGGGATGAGCATCTTTTTGATTTTTCATTAATATATGTTACATTCTTCATTCCACCAATGTTTATTAAATTTTGAATTATGCACATTTTTCTTTTTAGGTATTAAATTTTCGGATGCTTTTTTCAGTTCTGCTATAAATTTGTCATACTCTTTTTACTGCTATAAATTTGTCATACATAATTAATACCTTGTTCAATAGTTTCAGAAAAAAGTGACCAATTTGGTTTGTTTCAGTTCAGTGTTTTTTACTTTGAATTTTTAAACATAATTATTACTTTTGATTTCTATCAAGATAAGATGATTAAATATCAATTTTTTTTTTATTTGCATGCCATAACGTAGCCTAATCAAGAGATATAATAAAATTATCTATTACCGACCTATTTTTTTATTAAATGAAGGAATGAGACTTTTTTGTCGTCAATTAGGATTAGGAAAACTTAAGTTGGCATTTTGAATTGATGAAAGTAAATTAATTCCTGTTCTATATAGGCTCTTCCATGATTTCAAAAAATTATTGTTTTTTAACGTTTGATGAATTTTTTAGCATAATATCAAATACATGTTTAGTAGAAATACTTACTTTTAACATTCTTGATCTTGCCTTTAAAATTTTAAGATTGTTCAGTATGCTGATGACACTTGAATTTATACCGAACGCTCCAAATATGATATTATATTGACCTAGAATACCCCAGTCGTTAGAGACGAAAGTGCCACTCTTCTAAAAATCATACGAATAAGCTGATTTTGCTGTGAATGTCAATTTTGAGACCACAAAAAGATGCAAAAAAGTTTATCACTGTTTTCTTACCCAAATTCGACCTCTATGTAATCTCTCAAAGCATGCCCGGGTTCGATGTACCCAAAAGAAAACGGAAAATAATTTTTAACAATTTGCAGATATATCTTTATTTTACACGTAAAAATAAATAACATCTTTAGGATTACATCACATATTTAGAAGAGGTGAGTAGGAAAAATAAATACTATAATATGGTAAAATCAGTCATACTGATTAAATACTCTAGTGGACATGACGGCAAAATAACATCAATACCAAAGAAATTATTCTTTTAATCATACAATTATATTTTCTTTTTACAAAATTATTTATATCCATATAAAATTAAAAATTATAAACTTAAAAAGTCTTCAAATTAATGAACTAAAAACAATATTTCATAACAAGGGATTAAAATCGCATATTAAAAGGTTAGTCGATTTTTTACTACTACTACTACGTGAATCTAATAACTACTATACATATATCTAACAAATATACGTGTTCAATATCAATGAAATATTGTAAATTATGTATAACAACTAACCTTTTAACATATATAAAACTAATTTAAAATAAACGATTTCGTTCTTAAAATATACTTTTAAACAAATAATATTAAATAATCCATAAAAAGGTAACTTTACATAACTGTAACAGAGGAATTGTAAAGTACCAATAACAAAGATGATAGATTAGTGCCACATTAACGGTGATTTAAAGCCGCAATTTTAAGCCCAGCACTTTATTAGAAATCAGAATTACCTATAATGTTTCCACGACCGTCTCTCCCTGTTTGACAGCTCAATGTACTATACCTTGTATCGATTCAAAGCACGGCTTCCAATATGATTTCAATGATACGCATGTCTTAACCATCAATTCCAG